GCGCGAAACCATTCCTACAGTGCCGTACAGGCCATTTCGTAGCATAAGACCCATTACTATAGCCCAGGTACATCCCGTTTCTCTATTATGCGGAACATATGGTCTCGTTAGATGGCATCGTACGTTACCCTTGCAAAAAATTACAGAAAGTATATTCCAGTAAGGTCCGTAATATAATGCTGACATGAAAAATACACTTCTTCCTCTTTGGCAGAAAGACAAGAATTGGGCACATTCTGATGATAGCTAAGAACTACAGAAAGCCTTGGCGCATGTTACAAAGAGGAAAAAACGGCAGTCCTCGTTATTATGAAAAATACTCATGCTCATTATCCCTATGCTTTTCTAACGGTTATGAGACGTAGGCCATGGCTGAAAAACTTCGATCCAGGGTACAGTCAACTGAAATGGGCTTTCTTAGACGAATTGCTGGCCTTACGCATCTCTGCATAGTCCAGAGTACAGAAATCCTGAAGAATCTTAATGCACAGCAGCTATTTTTTCAGTTTGAGAAGTCATTGCTGTAATCGTTTGGGTACATGTGGCGAATGTCTCCAGAAAGAAAGGCGGTGCAACTGCTGTTTGCTCAACCGATTGGTGTAAGATCCGGGGGACGGCCAAGATTTACTTGAGGCAGTTTTATTCAACGAGCCCATTCCAGACTCTGATTTTTTTTGCCGAGACTCAGACTCTATAAAATCGATATCGATGAACATCGAAGTTACATTTAAACCTTAATCTTAATTATCCCCCACAAATCGAACTCGTCCTCTTTTGCCATTCCAACATTTTTGTTCATTTAAAAGGATCAGTCAGCATTGGCCAGCCGACCGCAGAGTCTTTTCGGTTCCAGATGTTGCAATTGGGCACGCTGAATCGTTTTGATGATGAAGCTTTCATACTGTTCATTGTGCGAGCACTAGAACCTCCGGTCATTTCTTTGACTGGCTTTGTTTCTTTGTCGTTTGTGTGGACATATTAAACTAATTCCGTCTGGTTTCAATTAGTCACATATGCTTGTTGCAAAATAAGAATAGAAAATATTGAAAGATTGTTTGTGACAAACAAAACATATTTTTGGCAAAATAATGTCTAATACATCGACGCACAGCAGCTGCTGAGATACCATGACCTGTAACCATCTTACATTGTCACCCAAACACATGGGAGAAGCAGTCAGTTCCATTACGTTGTGAAATTCTCTTAGGTAAAACTCTGCATATCATCAATGCATCTCGTAACGTTCCTACATTTTGGCAGTAATGCTGGAGTTCATTATTAGTGAATATAAAATATTTAAGGACACAGGTCAATAGGAAAAATTCACATTAGCTAGTTTGTAGAACGAAGACTATCTTACAAAATCGCGAAAAATCAATCGTAGATCTTGCATTCCTATTTTTAAACCTGATAGGCTAGGAACTGGCAGTTAACCAAGAAACTATGCTGGACTAATCAAATTGAAATAATGATCAGCTAAAGCTTAAATTTCTTTATGGCTAACGCTAAATGCATTTACGCACTATCAATCATCATAAGTATTAAAGCTGGAATTCCCAGATGACGGAAAGCAAGGAATGGAATTTAACGTACCTGTTAGTCAAAAAGCAAAAGTCTGACTGCACCAGTCACCATTAGGAAATAATTTAGCAGCAGTGAAAAGAATAAGATTGGAATTTCAATGTTTCCTATCTTCTGCCGTTGGCTGATCACTTGACTATCTGTCCTGTGGCTTTGCGAAGAGTTTTGCTTTC